AACTGATGATATAATGACAGTTTAATATAGGGACAGTTCTTAGACCAGTCTCTCAAAATACCAGTCAAAGGAGTTTTCTTTTCTCCTAGGTAGAGCAATGTTTAAAGCGCCTATGGAAAATGAATCTGGTGGGCTGCCTGGAAACTCTGGTAGGACTGATTCCCAAGTAAGTGGCATGATCCCATGTCTTGTACTGTCTGCAGAGCTAAAGGAAGAGGATGCTAGATTGTAACCAACTCTTCATCCTTGTATCACCACAGGAGAAACGCATCTAAAGCCCAGGCGGAGTGCTTGGTTCCCAGCCAGCCTATTCTGGAAACTGTGGCTTTGAAGGTATTGGGAGGCTGCAAGCTCATACTACGTCTACTGGATTGTTGCTGTAAAGCTTTTCTGTATCCTTTTTTTACCACAAAAACATTATCTTAGAGTTCACCAGTAGCACCTCATAAGACCAAATCGAGGTGTTGTGTAGGCCCTGTATTACTGATGGACTCAACTGTGCAATTCATAGGTGCAACTTGAAATTTCTTTGATAGCCAGAACCTTCATTTCAAGTTATTATGTGGAAACCTCAGGCTGTTTGGTGAGCAGCTGTTCTGGCCTTGAGCCAGCACAGTATCCAAACAAAGTTTGGATACTCATCTCCCAGATTATTCCAGGATATTGCCTTGTGAATTGCCCCTAGTTGGTGTGTTCAGCAACTCTCTTTACATGCTGTTTATTTTTTTAGCCTTGACTGCTATAATCTTCAGCTTGTCCGTTAAACACCTCTGCTCGAAGGAATTCATACTCCTGAATACTGTGGCTTCAGGGCTCCTGAGCCGGCTCTGGTTTGTGTTTGTCTGTTTGATGTGCCTGTCAGGGAGAAGGGCTTGTAATTAGGCCTTGCTGCTAAGGGAGCTTTATTCAGTTGGGAGTAGGAGAAGGGAGGTCCCTCCATGCCTTTGGACTTGATTTTAGAACCTGCAGAGTTGTACAAGTGGAGAGAGACTTCTTACACGCTCTTATTGAAGGCTTTATTCTTGGATCTTAGCAAACTATATGTACCTCTAATGAAATCACAGTGTTAGTGTCAGTCTGCCACAAACACCTGGTACTCTGCACAGCAAGGAGTAAGTCCTGCATCATGCTGAAATGGGAAGGCTGGGTTAAACATGTTCTATTATACTACTGAGTTTTCTAGGGAAATTGGTTGTTCTGGTTTCTCTCGGTCTGGGAGAATAACTGCTGTCTATAGCTGAAGGAGTAACAACATTGCTAGAACAACTTTCTGTGACACAAGAAATCTTGTAACTCAAGGAAACCAACTTTCTGTGACACAAGAAATCTTGTGACTCAAGGAAACGCAGAGCAGGCAATTGTATGGCATCACGCCTGAGCTGGTGCAGAGTGCTTCTGTGGGAAGATTTCATGGCACCTTGGATGTGATCCAACAACCTGATGGGTCCCAAGTGTGGCACTCAGCAAAACTCTATGGAAGTGGAGGGGCTCCTGATCAGGAACTTTCAAGTCACTTTTGCATGCTGATCTGGGATAGTTCCTTAAAGCTCAGACTTAAGGAAAGCAGGGTGATGGAGTATAAAAAGGTAAATTTGTACTGAGGGGAAACATGAAAGGACCATTGAGTTGAAGGTAGTTGTTCAGTGAGCATTATGTTTTGCTAGAGGAGACTCCATTCCTTTTTGTCCTCTGTCTGCAGGATCCAGTACATGTGTGTATTGCAGACCCTCATGTCCTTGTACAGTGCCTTGTCAACAATGCTTCAGCTGGTATCTGAAACCCAGAAGACCCCTTATATCAAGGGTTTTACCTTCCCTTCTGATGTTGGTGACTTCCTTGGAGTCAATGTATCTTCTGAAGCAAAGAAGCAAAAGGCTAAAATGCTTACAGCAAAAAAATCTACCAGCTGGATGACGAAGTTCTTCCCAGCAATGCCAGAGGCAGTATCAAAGGTTGGGACAAAGAGAAAATCTGAGACCCGTACAAGTGCTGTGAAAAACCGTGGCATCCTGTGCCCTGTGGACATTGGAGAGACAGTTGTGGTGCCCACAGCCAGGAGAGGTAAAGCCTTGTGCCAGTGTAATGGTTTCTGATATCTCAGAGACTGACTGCAACTTCTGTCCCACAGGGCCAAGCACTTCTACTACCTACAGTGTGGTTCTTGTACAAACTCCCTGTCCTTGGAGGAGAATGCTGCATGTGCCCTTGCATTTATAAAGCTGTGGATAATGTCAGTATCATGATTTTTGGGGGGGTGTTTCTTTTAATCAGGAAACAGCCTTGAGAGAAGCAGGTAATGAATGCAGTATACAGGTCTTGAAAATAGTTATTTGTACTTTTCTGCTTTTGCATAGCTAAGAAGCTATGGGCACTGTCTGTAACCCATACAAGAGCAGGTAAGGCTGTAGGAACAGGATGCAAGTATCCTGTGTTGGCTGGTTCTGAACTGTGCCCAAATCTTCCTCTGCAGTCAGGGCTATGGCCAGTTACTGCAGCCATCCATGTGTTTGTGCGAAGCTTTTATCCATTAAGTTCTCCTTTGCAGCCATCTGTAAACCTCTGCATGCTCTTCATTCCTTGCCAGCTGCAATGCAAAACTAGTGTAGTCCCCTTGAGTTTGCCTGGAAATGTTGAGTACAGGTGTGAGCCTGCAGAGAGTTCTGTGGTGTCTCTGTGCAAATAAAACTATCTCAGTGTTGTAATGGGAACTCTTTTCTCTCTCTGTAGGGAAGCACCCAGGGTTTGATGTGAAGAGCTTGCTTAGGCCATCCAGACATCCCACACAAGAGGTTTGTATGGTATTGTTTTACATGTTAGGTTGGTGGTTTGGGTTTTTTGTACACAATAGTTTTTTTATTTTTGTATTGTAAAGACTCTAACACTTGAAACATGATATCCCTGATTGAAAATGTCCCCTTTTCCTGCCTTATTTTTGCTTGTCTTGCAACTCAGGTTAGTGTGGAAGCTTTGCACAGAAAATCAATCACTACTTATTTCTGCTTGGGAATTTGGGCATTTGTTGGTTTGTCAAGTGAAATGACCAGAGACCAAGTCAGCAGTAGACAGAAATAGAAATTCTAAATATCTGCATCTTCTTTTTGTATTCCACAAAACAAGACTGCTCTTCCCTTTTCTCCTTAGAAAATAAGGAATATTCTCACAACATTCTGGGTTCTGCTCCCTTCCAGCAGAAAGGATCAAACACGTCATCTTTTTAAAACACTTTTTCTGTTACTGTTTGTTTCAGGGTCTGAGCATTGCATCAACACTTCTTCAAGCAAAGTCATCGCCACTTTTGTCTCAGATAGTAAAATCACAGCACACTGGATCTCTTGTGCAGATGGTCCAAACAGCTGCATCATTTGGGGAGCTGTCAGAGGCACTCAGAAAAGCTATTCTGTGGTGCAAAACCAACAAATTCAAATCAGAAGCTTATTTTCTGCGTAACAAGTTGTTGAAAAGCAACCGGCTACACCATGTGGAGGCTCAAGGATGCAGGTAGTTTTGCATGGGTGTGGGATTTCTGAGTCTAACATTTGTATTTTAGTATTATGTATTTTGCTATAGTATAGTGAAACACAGTGGCCTAAGCCATTATTTTAAAACTCAGGATCACTAGTTCAGGTTACTGGGTGCTCTGACCATGGGCATTCTGTTTAGTTTCAGTCACTTGTGATTTAAAAAGGCTTTAAAAGGCTATCAAATGTACAGTACTTAGGAGGGAGGATGAAAATGCAACTTAAATCATCTGCATGTTTTATGGTAACAAATGTATGAGGCAAGGGTTGTGTTTATTCAGACTGCTTTGGCTACTATTGTACAAGGTGCTGTTCTGTTTCCTTGGTATGCTAAGGAAAATTATAGAGATGGGTAATAATGAAATCTCTCCAAGCTCCAAATGAATTAACACTTTAGTAGCTGATAAAGTTCTGTTTTGTATATTTTGCTCCCTTTAAGCTTGAAGAAAAAGCTGCACTGTGTGAAAACATCTGTCTGTAAACACCTCCTGTATGGGTCCCAACACATGCGCTGGCCGAGGCAGCACCTCCAGGCACGCTGCTGCCGAAGGAGGATCAGATCGTCGGCGCTCTTGAAGGCAGCTCCAAAGACTGGTGGGCAAAAGCCTCCTGAGCTTTTTGGGGTCTGTGAGAACAGTGCATCACTCATCCTCCCAGCTTACCAAGATGGGTCTCCAAGTCAGGAAGAACATTCCAGCATTGATACAGGACATGTCAGACTAAGCACAACAGGGACCCCTAAGCAACTGCTGCTGGAAGGAAGCCCTGGCCTTGTGTGGAAAGAACCTGCTGAGAACACAGATATTGATTCTATTTTTGCAGCAATAGGTGTCTGATCCTGGATTTGAAGGAGGAAAGGATTCAAGTCATTCTAGTTTTTTGTTGTTTGGTGGGGGTTTTTTTTTGTTGTTTGTTTTTATTTTTTAAGTAAACCCCTCTGAACCCTAATGGTGTCTCAGTAACTCACATTGTGAATTCTGTTAAGAAAGTAACAACTATTTTATTATGTTTTTGTAAACCAGCTTTTTTTTAATGGCTGATTTTTATATTTTTAAGGGTGTTCCAAAAAACTGAATAGTCACCTTCCTTTTACCTACCCTTGTCCAGGAACAGTGACTTTGTTACCCATACTCAGTGTTCCCTCTCTATTGCCTGACCACATGTTAAGTGCTGCTGTCAAATCCACAGTGCAAACAGTTCCCATCCATGGCAGAAAGGCTGCAGCTGATCACTCACTGCTGCTTTGGACAAAAGACTTGCCAAAACCTTTCCAAGCCTTACACTCTTCCTTCTGTGCTGCTTGTAGAGGGGACAGCCTTGATGTGCAGTATTATTGCTGTTTCAGCATTTGTTATGCTTGTTCTGAAATGAGGAGTTAACTGAAGTTACCTCCCCATTATAGCTGTTCCAGAAGTAGGGAAAAGCACAGCTGTGGCCTGTATTACCTGCCTTGTATGAACTGATCAATGTACATTTAGTTACGAAACGTGGGCACAAACTTATGTTTTATTCAAAATGCATACACAGAGCAAAGAGCACAACTTTGTTAGTAGTTTGGGCTTAAGGTCTTTGTACACATAACCAAGATCTTTTTTCAAGGTTTCCTGTCACAGGAATACCCAGTGACAACTGAAACAATTTTAGAGAACTGGGAATCATCAGCCCTTGAGCCATCTGATGCAACACAGGCCTACTTGAAACAGATTCCTGCCATTGCAGGAATTTTTAGAGGTCTTTTTCTCATTTCCTGAAATGGTATAAAAGTACCTAAGTATACCACATACAATCAGGTAATGTTTCAGCTGCTTGAAAATGTCTCAGAAAAGGCTGGGAGTGATGGCAGACATCCCAGCAGTGACCTCCATCCTAAAAACCCCTTCCAAACAACATGCATGATCTTCCTTCTTAGTGGCAGCAGGTGGCCAAATAATGACCCAGTGCAGCTTGTGCACAGATTCAAGACCCATAGTTTGCTTCATCAAAGGCCTTTCTGGCTCGTTTCAGTTCTTCATTCATAGTTAGGAGGTCTTTAACTCTGGCAAACTTCCGGGGGTCCTTGCGTATTAGAAAGACAATGTCCTCAACCTGCACCCGACCCTGCCGCCCGATGGACATGGCCTTGTGTGTCTGTCAGAGGGGAAAAAAAAGTCAGCAGTGTTCCTTTGCCATGGTGCTTTCTTAAGGTCTCAATTCCACTTTAGTTCCTGTCATTTTATAATAAAAAAGCAAGCAATTGCAGGTTCTGGGCACCATCATCCTAGTCACAAGAGAACTTCCCAGTAAACCATGGACTTACTCTGCTGTCACTTATACCCTGAACATAACCACTGCATATACATCACTTAATGGTATCAAAACAAAGGCCAGTTTACACATACGACACCCAGCCTGCAGAATGGCTGAAGATTAGGCATGATTTGGAAGCAGTGTGAGGTAACTGTATCAGAGGACAGTGTAGGGCATTTTGATAAGCATAGAAAAAAGACTAGCATTTCAACAGAAAGGGGAATGTTTGGATACTTAGAAATGGTATCCAAGTCTGGAAGAGAAATGGCCTCAGGCCCAAGAATGCATTCCTTTTGTAGGGCAGAGATAAGTTCCCATCCATGTACAGACACTGGGCAAACACAAAAAGTTGACAACCTTTCAAATCTGAGCCAAATTTTCTGTCAGCTGCACATACAGTGATGCCACAGTGAACCCCAAAGTCAGGTGGGTATTTCCCCTGCTACAATACTAATCTAACTGCTACTTAAAGACTTCAGTGTTCTAAATCCACATGGAGTGAGGTGCATAAATTTTGCTTTAATACTGGGAAAACAAAATCCAAGTTTATGTTTCTCCTACTAATGCCATGAGTTTGGGGCCTGGGATAATGCAGTATTTGAGTCAGAAGCATTAACCTTCAAAAAGCTAAAGTTCTGCTGAGGGTGTTTTGACCATGCCATCTAGAGCTGACTTACCATTTCAGTGATAAACTCTATTACCAGGTCCTCAAGAATGTCCACCGATTCTGTGTAAGGGTTCTGGTCATCTCCAAATCCATACATCATGCACCTTACTGCACAAAGAAACACTCAGCATGAGGCTTTCATCTATTTAGTGCTGCATGCATCTAGTTAGACCTCACCAGCCTGCACGTTCCTGCACCAGGACGGCCCTCTCATCTGCCAGGGAAGACAAATCTTGAGAAAACATACAGGAAATTACAACAAACAGAAGCCAACAAAAGCCCTCCTGTAGGCACAGGAACTGTGCATACAGAAAAGCATGTCTGAGGACAGGCTCTCTGAATATTCATTTAGGCTGCAAAGCACTGCATAGTGACAGCGCAGCTAACTTTGGGCACAGCTAGGTCCAGAGCATACGCTAGCAGTATTTTTGAGGGGGGTCTACATGGCAGATTTCTGCAATTGCAGCCAAGGCACATTATGAAAGCCGCTGTTTTGCTAAGGCGAAGTGAGTTTGGGGACCCCATAGCTGTCAGCTCGGGGTTTCAGCTGGGTACCCGGCCCGACTTACGCTCTTTGGAGAACAGCCGCTTCCTCCTGCCCTGCCCGCCGTCCAGGCCCCCGCCGGCGTCCTCCGCGTCCTCTTCGAACTACACGGGCACAGCGGCGGGGAGGCCGCAGTCAGCGCCCGTCTGGCCTCGGCCCCTTCCCGCCGCTCCCCCGACGGCGGCTGGGCTGTGGATCCCCGGGAAGGGCAGCCCCTCCACCACTCACCGGCACATCCTCCTCCTCATCCGCCATGGCTGCCCCGCGGCCCGGAACAGCTTCGGCGGCCCGGCCCCGCCCCCCGGCCCCGCCGAGCCGCGCCGGGCGGGACGGGTGGAGCGGGCGGCGCTGCGGGGCCTGCCTGGGCGGGGGGCAGCGCCGTGCGGCTGCGGCGTAGCTCTGGTAGCCCTCCCCAAAGCTGGATATGACATTCATTGTTGGATTGCCGGATCGGGATAGCGTGGTTTGAAAGTGAGCTCGGGAGGTGTCTGTTAACCCCTCGGCTCGAAAGAGGGTCAGCCACGAGGTCAGAAAGGGTGCCTTTTCACAGTCGGTTTGTAAGGTTGGTAGGGGCTTTTCCTTCCCTTCAGCGAGGCACACTTGCCCATGTTCACAAAATCATAGAAGGTAAAAGAGTTGGGATAAAGCCTTTAATGACCATCTAATCCCAACCCCCTTGCCATGGACATGGACACCTCCATGAGACCAGGTTGCCCAAGGTAAGTCCCCTCTTTCAGTTTGTACCCATTCCCCTTTGTTCTAGCACTGGAGTTTCTGGCCTGGCTTCTCTTTAGGCTCCCTTCATGTACTGGAAGGTTGCTATGAGGTTTCCACCTTCTGGATAGCACCCGACTGTCTCAACTTGTCTTTGTAGGTGAGGTGCTCCAGACCTGTTGTATTTCCATAGCTGCTGTCAGCCCCTTTGCTCCAGCCCTGCCCTTGAGCAGGTCCACTGTTTCCCCCAGTTTGGTGCCCTAGGCACGTTTGATAGCAATGCACTTCTTCCAGATTTCTCATAAAGATGTTAAACTGGACACATTCCAAAATGCATCCTTGCTGTGTTCCACTTGAAACTGCCATGCAACTGGCATATGACCCATTGGCTTCTATGCTCTGAGCTCAATTGTTTAACCAGTTTTTACTGAGCTACTAGCACACCTGTCCAGACTGCAGCGTTCTAATTTTGGACACTTGCAAAAATACTGTCTTTGTAGTGTCAGGGTTGTGACGACACACCAGACCAGACACATGACAGAGTAGAGGAAGAAAATGGAGATTGTACTACTGAAAGACCAGGAAAGATGCACAAGGTGAAATCCTTTTCCAATGAAGCTAATATTCAACATAATTTCTGTAAACAAAAGCTGCAGAATAGGCATAGCTTTACCACATAATGACAGGAGCCTTAAGTAAAGCTTGCACACCGCTAACAACTAAAGACACTTGAATTTAAAACCAAAATGAGCTCTACTGTATCTGTATGCTGCCAGGCCCACCCCCCACGGACCATGAGGGGGAAAGAAAGGGACATCTTTTGTGTCCCCGGCCTGAGAAAATGCAGCTCCTCACTTGGCAATTCAGCTTGTTCCTTAAGAACCTGGCAAAAAAAAGTCCAGTAGCATGTCAAGACACCAGCTTTCCCAAAGCCCATTTCCATAAAGGCACTTAAATCCAGGTTTTACTTTTTAGGGAGAGGACTTGATTTTATTTACTGTTTTGTCATAGGGGCATTGTCACACTCAAGAATCAAACTGCAGTACTGGCTCCTGCAAATGGCTGACCAAAATGCAGGAGTTATTCCAGTATCTGAAGCACTTCTGAATAAAACCAAGATGTGTCTGGAAGTAAAACTGGTTCTTCTGGAGAAGAAGGTACCTAATGTTCCCTGCATACACATCCAGTTTGTTTGTACAAATGGATTAACAGGACATATTTAATGTATTTAAGTGATTAGTAAAAGACTTCCTAGCATTGTAAGGGGTTGTAATGAAATTTAGGGGGTTTTATTCTGAGGAAGGACTTAAACTAGAACTGCACTTTTTTTCAAATTCAGGGTTATTTTCAGAGGCTCATCAGTCAAGGCTGAGGCCCTGAAAATTACAGCCTTGACAAGATTGATGTTTCTGGAAGGTCCTGGTTTAAAGATTCTACAAAAAGGCCCTTCCTGAAGTGTTCACTTTCACCTGTTTCATCTGTATAGCCACTACTCCATTTCTAGGATCATGCATCTCTTGGGCTGGTTTGCCCTGCAGCATTTTAAGATTACAGAATTACAAGTTTCATCACTAAGATGCAGAAGCTATAGAGTCACATTTACTGCATTCATCACATGCTCCTGTTCCTACATGTATGCTGAAAACAGATCTTGTCTCATGTCTAGTGTGTTACAAGAAATTGCATAGTGAAAGAAAGTGGTATTTCTAGTCCTTTTGCACTGTCAGAGTAATTTAGAAAAGAACTTTCCTTTCTTGAGGTTTAAACTCTTGATGCAAGTAACTGACAACTGCATAACCAGCCTTGGCCACATTAAGACATGGCAAAGACTGAGTGCCAGGGTTTGACACAGGCACTTCATAGCTTCAGACTCAGTTCTCCTATATGAGTGCTGCTGTTGATGGCTGTCGTTTTGTCCAGTTCTGTCTTGTAACTGGACAGTTTGAAGCGCTCTTAGACAGACACAGCTGCTGTGGGAAGCAGTTCCCCTAAAGTGTACAGGACACATCGGTGTTGTGCTTCAGCTGCCAGGGTAGAGCCGATACAGATCATGGATGGTGTGCCTCAGATCTGGCATTTCATCCACGTGGAGCTGCAGAAATTCATGCTGGATCTCAAAACAGAAGGTAGATGCAGCACTGACTCATGACAGTGTGCAGGATAGGGCTCCTCTAGATGTCAGTCTTTTATTCCACTCTGTTTCAAGCCAACACTCCTAGAAAAGCAGATCCCATAAAAGATGTGTTCTTTCCTTCATCCTTGCAGAACAGGGACAACTCAATGTCTGCAAGCAAGGCATGCTATCCTGCTGCACCTACTGAACACAGGACACGGAAGAGTTACAAAAGTAAAATATACAAGACATCAAACACACCTTCACAGAAAACAGGTTGGCTATTTCCACTCTGCATGGCCTTAGAGCAGCTAGGTTGCACAGGAGGTAGTTTGTGGCCCCTGCTATCCTAACCCTAACCCCAGCTGTGAGAAGTAAATCTCTGTGTATCATACAGTTCAACTGAGCAATACAGTTTCCTTAATGTTAGGGCTGTAGTTTTTCTTTCCTAGATTAAATGCCTCTTTATTAATGATATTACTAGACTGTCTCTAGTACCCTAAATATAGTGGAGGTTAGGCATGAAGTAGCAGATTTTTGAACATTTCAGTGTAGGGAGAGGAAATGCTGTATTAAAACTTCCCTTCTCTATGGAGGTTATCTACTTTTTTTCTCCTTAGCACAATCATGTAAGTTTTATGAAACAGTTTTATAATAACCTGGATTAATTCACATTGCAAACTTCCTGAACTGATGAACCTAATAAAGAAAAAAAATAGCTTTATAAATACTAATTTATTCAAAAATACCATATAGTAACTTGGGCTATTTGCAACAAAAACCCCAGACCTCTGGTTTTGGTACCTTTTGTTCCTGATGAGCCAAGCAGATCAGCAGGCTTTTCAGCTGGCCTCTACAGTGGGCAGGTTTCCAGTAACATGGGCTACAAAACACCTGAGCAAGTGAACCCCCGAGAACTCCACAGAACTGTGGGAACAGAGGCAGAGATGTTCAGTGCCACATATTGATGTATCTTGGAGTAATAAAGACAAACAGCCACTGGCTGTGCTCAGTCACACGTCTCAGAGTACACCTTGGGAAAAGCCTGCACTTTGGCTATGTAATCCAACAATTGCAGCTCTTACTGTTAGCAGAGCTCCAAATAAAATGGGAAAGCCTGCTACCATGCAGCACAGGAATTGCTGCCCTGCTTTGAGAAAGGCCAAAGGAAGAAGCACCCTTGGAAACAAACCTCACTCAGTTGCAGAGAAGGGGGAAAGAAGAGAAGGGACATTTCCCAATCAGCAGCCCACTCTCTATCCTTGGGGCACAAAGAGGTGCTGCCTCTAGACCATACAGACTTGTGCTGGTATCTTGCCCTACTGAACTCATCACCAGAAACGCAACAGCAGCAGTGGAGAGGAACTTTACCTGACCAGGAACAGCTGAGGAAAGCATCCCTGTGTGTTCTCCTTTACAAACTCCTGGATCTCCAGTACATTCTTTAACAATAATCCCCTGGATGCTCGGTCAATTTTTGTTAACACCATCTGCACGGATCCAGAAAGGGAGGATTCAGAGAAGAAAGTAAGATTATTTTGCTGTTAAGCTGGAACATCTGTAAGAGTCCTACATCGTCTTACAAAGCAGTCTGAAAGCTCTGGTAATATCTAGGGGAAAAAATAGTCTAACACAGTTCACCAAAACTATGGCTTGCATAAGGAGTGCACCTTTTCAAGCTGCTCAAGCTGAACACTGAAAAAAAAATCTATTTAATAAACCACATAAAAACCCCTCTTAAATCCCATTTGCCTTCCTCAACACATTATAAACCCATTTTATTAACAATAAAGGGTTACTGCTTAGGTAGATCAACTTGCATAAGCTCAGGTGGAGAGTACCTTTCTAGATTACCTGTACCTTATAACCAACCCAAGAATGAACCATTACCTACCACATAAGGAATCCCAAACTCTTCCAGCATCTCTACTGCAATATGATCTGTTTTCTGGAGTCCAACTACACCATCAACTAATAGGAAAGTCCTCTTCAAGCTGCCAGAAATACAAGCAACAGTAATTATCACCATTATTTCATGCCTGCTCTGCTGCTTCCAAATTCATAAGCAAAAACAAGTAACATGGGATCTGGGGATAGGAAGAGCCAAGAAAAGTCATGCATGGAAACTAAGGGTCAGCATGGAGCAGCACCTCAATCTTTCATGCTCTTTTGACTTATCTGAGCATTAATGAGTGACAAGGCAGAGGCTTCCAGGGAAAGGATGTCAGAACTAATGGATGGAAGCAGCAACCCCTCTGCATTTTCTCCCCTCATTACAAGATGCTGTACAGGGGTGTCAGTCTGGCTTTCCCTGTGCTGAGGTACAGGTGGGTCCCTTACTTGTGCCGTTCCTGCAGATAGGCCTCCACCATCTGAACAAAGTCCTGCGGGGCGCGATAGCCGTATCCTGGCATATCCACCAGAGTAAAGTACTTCCCTACTTTGAAGAAATTCATCTTCTTGGTGTGGCCCTGAAGAGAGGATTTGAGGCACGATGAAGCACAGGGGTGGTTTCTAAAAAAGCTGCTTTAAGCAGTGTACTAGGAGGTGCTCTGCAAAATGTCTCTATACCAAACTCCTACCCTGCCAGAATGCTTTAAACTGCCCAGTCTCCTACCCGTGTAGCAATCCTACATGGCTCTAATCATAAAATGGACTAAAAATACCTTAATGGCTCTCTAAGCTTGGTTCTTCTCAAAGGCCTTTACAGCACACCTGCTCAGGTAGTGCAGCTCCTTCATCTGCCTGAAGAGCTAGGCTGGGCTCCTTCTGCCTCTTCCTGGGCTAGAGCAAGGCCAGTGCCAGCCATGAGGACAGCTACCAGAGCCGGCACTTTCTGTCATTTCAGGCTAGGCAAGAGCTTGTTCCCTCCCACCCTTCTCAGCCCTATCCTCTGGACTGGTACCAGCTTATGACCCAAAGGCAGAGAAGTTAAAAACGTGACTCACCGGAGTTTTTGACACTCTAACTTCCACTTCTGGAGCCAGTGAAAACAAGGCCCGGATTAGAGATGATTTCCCTACATTGCTTCGGCCGATGAAGCACACCTGCAGGGGGAGAGGCAGAGAAGGCACATCTACACCTGCCCACCTCTCGCTGCAGCCAGTCCTGGTCACTTCCCAGCCACGGACATGCCAGGCTGCCGAGCTACACAACGGGTAACAACAACAAATAAACGATTTGTTAAAAAGCATCACTAAGTGCCCCACACATTGCGCAGCGCTCTGACAGAGCTGCACAACCACCCCACCACCCTTTACCCCGCAGCTGAGCCCAGCCCGGGGTGGCCCGGCCGCCTGGGCAGCGCTCGGCTGACCTCGGGCAGGGCCGGCGGCGGGGCATGGTCCATGCGCACGGCGGAGCTCACGTAGTCGATGGGGTGCCCGCGGTCGGACCTGAAGAGCGCCTCGGCACGCTGCAGGGCAGCCAGCCCGGGCTGGAAGAGGCGGAACGGCGCCGTGTCGGTGCCGGGCGCCAGGTACCGCTCCAGCTTCTGCAGCGGGAACACGATCGCGGTGCGGCGGCTCCGCTCCAGCCGCAGCACCTGGGACAGGGCGGCCAGCGGCAGCGAGGCCCGGCCCGCAGCACCACCCGCCCGGGGCAACAGCATCGCAGCGGCTGCAGGCGGGACCCGGCCGGCCCCGGAAGGCGGCGGGCGGGACGGCGGGGCGGGACAGCGGGGCGGTGCCGCGGCTGCCCCCCGCGGGCCGGCGGCTGTCGGGGCCCGGTACGGCGTGAGTACTCGCCGTCCGCGCCCACGGCGGTGCTGTCCGGGCCCGGCTGTTTGTAGAATCACAGAATATGCCGAGTTGGAAGGGCACACAAGGATCATCAAGTCCAACTCCTGGCCCTGCACAGCACCATCTCCAAATCACACCATGTGCCTGAGAGTGTTGTCCAGGCACTTCCTGAACTCTGCCAGGCTTGGTGCTGTGGCCACTTCCTTGGGGAGTCTGTTCCAGGGCCCAGCCACCCTCTAGGGGAAGAACCTGTTCCTGATATCCAACCTAAACCTCCCCAGACACAGCTTCAGGCCATCACCTCGGGTCGTGTCACTGGTCAGCACAGAGAAGAGATCAGTGCCTGTGCCTCCTGTTTGTGAGGAAGTTCCAGACTGCGATGAGGTGTCCCTCAGTCTTCTCCAGGCTGAACAGCCCAAGTGACCTCAGCTGCCCCTCATACAGCTTCCCCCTTCTCCATCCTCATTACCCTACTTTGGACACTCTCTAACAGCTTCATACCCTCCTTATATTGTGACCAGAGCTACACAATATTCCAGGTGAGGCCGCCCCAGCTCAGAGCAGAGCAGGACAATCCCCTCCCCTGCCCGGCTGTGATGCCAGACCTGATGCCCTCAGGACAGGGCTGGCCCTCCTGGCTGCAGGGCACTGCTGGCCCAGGTTTACCTTTCCATCAACCAGGACCCCCAGGTCCCTTTCCACGGCGCTGCTTTCCAACTCATTGCCCAGTCTGTCCATACATTCAGGATTGCCCCATTCAAGATACAGAGTCTGGCACTTTCCCTTGCTGAACTTGATACAGTTGGTGATTGCCCAGTGCTTTAATTTATCGAGGTCTCTCTGCAGGATGTCTGCCTTTGAGCGAGTCAACAGCTCCTCCCAGTTTTGTATCATCTTTTTAGCTCGGTGTCTTCTTATGTGTGTTCTCAGGCCAGGCCCAGCCACACTGTCAAGCTGCTGAGGGCTCCATGTGCTGATGCCCTGTTTGGCCATGGAGTAGGGCGAAGCAGCCCTGTCCTATAGCACTGTCTACCTCTCAGCTGCAGCCCCCAGTTTTCCAAGTGCTCTTCTGATAAGTAAAAAAATTAAGTTGTTTCAGGGAAAAAAAAAAAAAACAACCAACAAAACATTTTTTCAAGGACAACTATGTAGAGGTCAGTTTTATTTTGAATAAGATAAACCCAAAGCAACCATAAAACTGTTGTCACCTGTGTTCACACTATAGTAAGAAGACCCCTGAAGTTTTACTACTTAATTGATATGTATCAGAGTGCTGTTTTCCTATCAAAAAATACACATAAAGCTTTTTACATTGTTCTCCTTCATGACTACAGTTCATAGGGCTGTAAAACCACAGAAATAAATGTATGTCCTTGAAACATTTCAAAGTACTGTAATTTTAATACTATCAAATGAAAGTAAACTTCATCAGTATCTTCATAAAAGTAATGTGTGAAAATATTCTGATGTTCAACCTTACACCCAGGCCAGCCTGGACATCCTGTGGAACACTGCCTTTCCTTTGAGACAGAGACCCCTTTTCCTTCTGTAGTCACAGCCCTCTGTTTAAAGCCCTGTAAGTCTGGATGGTTCCATTATTACAGTGAATAGATTCAAGGCCAGGAAGGACCATTAGAAGATAACAGAGGATATATCCTACTTTCTTTGTGTTGAGCTCAGTTACAAAGCTATAGGGAAAGAACTTTGATGCCTTAAGAATCCCTTAAGGGCCGCTAAAACAACATACATGTTTCTCAGAGATAGCTTTGAATATTTTCTAGTAAGACAAACTTCTACTGAAATCCATAAGCTTCTTCTCAAATTTATGATCAGTGAAAGTGCTTAACAGTGAAAGGTTAATAGGGTAAGCCTAGGGAAAACCCCCTGTATTCTACCTCAGTCCTGTAAATGATGTCCTCTTAAAACCTGCTTTGTTTCACAGCAAGACAGAGCTCAAATGTGCATAGATCAGGACAGATAGCAATAACCAGCTGATACATGCATACTTAGAAGAGTGCTCCCAAATAAATCTACAGATGACTTTTATTTATACAGAACAGGCCTCTCTCCTGTCACTGCCTGTGGCACAAATAGTTGTAAATGCAGGAAAAAAAAAAGGCTAAACTTTCAAGAATTACTTCAGGAACACTTCTAATCCTTTAATCCCTTGGGGGGGGGGGGGGAGATGTACTAAAGCAGCAATTTAATTGAATTGAAATCTGTGGTGAATCTATTAACAGAAAAATTCACTGGCCAGAGAATGACATGTTCATAACCACACCAGCAGGTAGATTTCCACATTTCTGTGCCACATGCCAAATTGTGACACATGAAGCAGAAAAAGTGCTTTCAGCTACTTTTGCCTCAAAGTCCTACACAGCTCACAGCTGTGGGCAGCTTTAAAGCACCTTGCAATAGTTTCCCCTGGCAGGCACATGTTCTGCAGCACAGAGAAACTGATCAGCCCATTTAACACCACATCTGCAGGTGTGATGTTGAGAACAGAGGTGCTCAGTATACTGGCCAGGGTCCCAGCCACTAATTAAGTCTTTTTTTTTAATGTGACTACATAGGTAAAAGGAACAAATTAAGGTGGTATAGGACCTTTTGAGTACTTCTTATTTTAGCTGAGAGCATCCATTAAAACCATATCTAAAATCTGTAGACTGAAACTGTACATATCAGTAGAAGGTGTTGGTTTTTTTCTTGGACCAAACTGCAGTTTCGGTTCTCTGGGGCAGATCATGTCGAGATGGAAGATGGCAGGTTACTATGGACAGAGCTGGTAAATTGCCAACATTTAAGCTTGCTTTGTATGTCCCCTGAAAGACTCTGCTTTTTATAGTGCATGTTATTGCCAAACATCAGGCATTTACACTGACATTGCCTATGGCTCATGTCTGTGGCAGCAGATGTCTCTTTTCAGTTGCTGGTTATGTAGTTCAAGTGTTAGGGAATTGCTACAAAAGTAATTTAGTCCACATTAAAAACTCTGACAATCATTCCTCTGAAGTTTGAAAGAGGGATCTATAACCATTGACACTGACCTAAATCCCAAACAATAGTCAAGAGCACGGAGCTGGAAGGAAGTGGCAACCCCAGTTGTCTTGTCTGGTCTGATCTTGTCTATCCCAGCATTGTGAGACAGATCAAATCATCATTCCTTTCAGATATGTGTCAGCGAAGTGTAGCTGTGAGACCAGCTGGAGATGGAGTTCTGGGAGAGCAGTGAGGTGCATTTGGGACAGTTGGTTTAGGTCCTGTGAACCTAAACTAGCCAAGTTCTTGAGTTTCATTTCCCCTTCATTTCCCTTCCCTTCATTTCCCTTTCCTTAAATGTGGACCTAATGTTGTCACCAGGAAGCATGCTGGAAAGGAGAGGGCGAACACACCAGCCTGCCTGCTTTCTTTTGTGACATTAACAGCACTACTGACTGTGTCTGAATCTGTGTTTCCCCTTAAAGTACATCTTATCTTTTTTTCACTTGGAAGGTGGTTTAGGAACTAGATCTACTAGGATATGGAGTTTAAAAGGCCAAATTATTTGTATAAAATGCTAAGAAGCTCTGCATTTTCCTCTGCAAATTATGCAGTTGGGGGCAGGGTGAAGTGTCTCTAGTCCCAAGAAGGAAATCAAGGCCAGAGATGTCTCAAGGGCAGGATATTCTGAGACTTTAACAAAAAATAGTTAAACAATTAAAATGCTCATTATACACATTAGTGGAAAACGCTTTTTTAAAGGTTCCTTAGTAAAGAAATGAAAGAGAATCATTATTATTCATGTGGCAGCTAACACTGCTAGCCACAGCTGAAGAATCGTTTCCACCAGTCTTACAGAACTGAAATTCTCCTTTCAATATCTGTTAAATTTGTTGGGCTATTTTTTCTCCTGGACCCAAACTTATAACATCAGTATTAGAGAAAACCCAATTAACATCTCGGAAAGTGTTGTGGTGTTGTGAGGGTCCCCAGGATGGGGTGAGAGATGAGAATTTGACTCCAAGATCTCAGAAGGTTGATTATTATATTATATTATATTATATTATATTATATTATATTATATTATATTATATTATATTATATTATATTATATTATATTATATTATATTATATTANATATTATATTATATTATATTATATTATATTATATTATATTATATTATATTATATTATATTATATTATATTATATCATATCATATCATATCATATCATATCATGTTATATCATATCATATTATATTATATCATATCATATCATATCATATCATATCATATCATACAATATACTAAAACTATACTAAAGAAAGAGAAAGAAGACATCAGAAGGCTAGACAAGAATGGTAATAAAAACCCATGAGAGACTCAGGGAGTCCAACACAGCTGGCTGTGATTGGTCATTAAGAAAACACAATTCACACAGAAGCAATGAAAGAATCACCTACCACATTCCAAAGCAGCAAAACACAAGGAGAAGCAATCAGATAACTATTATTTACATTTTTCTCTGAGGCTTCTCAACTTCCCAGGAGAAGAAATCCTGGTGAAGAGATTTTTCAGAAAATATCACAGTGACACTGAAAGTTAAATGTTTTGGGGTTTTTGACTGTTAAGTGAAAAGAAAAAGAAATTTTCAAGGTGAGTGCTGTTGCTTGCTTTGAGCAGGAGATGGAGAAGAGAGCCCAGCTATAACATGGGTCTGACAAAAACCCTTGTGGCAGCAGACACAGCAGCAGGAGCATGAAGCCAATCTTTGCAAAACTCTGCTTTCTTGGGGCCTGAATCACTAATGACTGCTAGGAGCTTGCTCTGAAATGTCCAGGATGGCAGCTAAAACTAGAATTTGTTATGGGGGGTGCAGGGGGAGGCTAAGTCACTCTCCCGGAGGTGTGATGTACGTCCAGAGCCAGAAACAACATAAAGGAAACAGGATGTCATGGTGACTGTGAGCTGTGAGTTCAACTAAAGCAGGGTCTCAGAACACAGAAGCCTTCTGAGCTGAAACCGAAACAATCTAACAGCAAAGGACACTTAAAATCAGCTCCAGGGCTATGCTGGAGGTGGTTGGAGAGCCACCAGGTCCAGCAGCACAGCTGCTTGGATCCACTGCCTGGGACACTGCAGTGGTCTTCTTGAAACAATACTGCCAGGCTGTCTGGCTCCAGTTTGAGTGTCGGACTGAGAGTTTGGGCTTTGAAAACCAAAAACCTCCCAGCAGTCCTTCCCCTGCTAAATCACCCCCGGACAACCTTTCCACTGTCCACAGTCATGCAGTAAGTTTCTGTGTTGTGGACAGACTGTAATCCAGAGACTCAAATCCCAAAAGGCTAATTACAGAAATACCAACATGATTTTCCAGCTATCACTTTGAATATCACTACTCCCTCAGATATGAGGGAGAATCGTTATCAAAAAGCCCCAGACCCAAAACCATTAAGCCTTTCCCCAAAATAACCAGACTAGGGTCCTCCCATACGGAAAGGAATTCTCCCCATTTATCAGGAGTTTTCCTGCCTTAGTTTCTAAAATGACCCTAACATTCTCCAGGTGCCTGGGTCTGTTGCTCCCGATTAAACCCCCAATGATTAGGACCTTAAAATCTTCTGAGTTTCATGACATTATTTCATGCTGCCTCTGCCAGGTAGTCTGAACTGCCTTACCCACAGACTGTATGGTTGAAACTATGGTATGTCTCACATCACAGGGATCTACATGTGATCTTTGCACCTTGGACCTGCCTTGAATCACGAGTAATGGTTGATGCACTTCACTGCTAAACCACATGGTGCTGGAGCAGAAGCTGTGTTGAGGATTTTTTTTCATGAGATTTTGCTTTTACTATGATGAGCATACTTAAAGTGGTTAACTAAAAATATCCTTCCCCTAATTCAATGATAAAATTCTTATGTGAGTGTGGAGAGCCTGGTTTAAGCATGGCTTAAAGAAAGAGGCCATGAAGGTATTCAGCTGAGGGAAATATAGAAGCCTGGTGTAAAGCAGCCTTTCCCAGGCTTGATCCTGTAAATAATTAGGCTCTCAGCCACCTTTTATATAAACAACAAGATTCTCAGACTGTTCTGTCCTTGGCTGCTACTGGGAACAGATGGCTGGTCTGGGAACAGATATGAAGGTTTTGAGAACTGTTCATATTATGGTGTGAACGCTGATCTTGGTTTCAGTAAACTAACTTCAGGTATTGTAAACAAAAGGAGGAGCTGAAGTTTTCTCTGCAGCCTATCGGGAGCTCAGATTTTGCAATATGCATGAAGTGAATTAACACTGTTATAGAAAGTGCCTAGTTGTTTAATAAATCGGAGTTGATGCTGAACAATGAAAGTTGGGTCTTCTCCCTCCATCTTCAATATGTGAATGTTGAAAATTTTATGTTATTTGAAATAGGTGTTTGCTTGAAATACACAGAGTTGTTAGGCTGGAAATTGAGCTTTTTCTGAACTATGCAAATATGTTGTGTAAATTGAAGATGAATTGTAGTGAAATGTGGAGATAATAATCTGAATATTCAAGGTAGTTATGACTGGTAAGCCTAGGAGCTTAAATATTACTTTCATATTAATAGCAAGAGTGGCCAGCCCGTAGATTGGCTGCTGGTGTGTGTCCAGAGGAGGGCAGCAAAGCTGGTGAAGGCTCTGGAGAGTAAGTCATGTGAGGCTGAGGAAGCTGGGGTTGTTTAGCCTGGAGAAGAAAACACTTGGGGGTGACCTTATCAATCTCTTTAAGTATGTGAAAGGAGGTTGTAGCCAGGTGGGGATTGGCCTTTTCTCCTGGGCAACAAGCTACAGGACAAGAGGACATAGCCTCAAGCTGTACCAGGGGAGGTTCAGGTTGGACATCACAAAGAATTTCTTCACAGAAAGGGTGATTAGACATTGAATTGGACTGTCCAGGTAGGTGGTGGAGTTACTGTCCCTGGAGGTGTTGAAGAAACCACTGGAAATGAATAAACCACATGGCAGTCAGTGCCATGGTGTAGCTGACATGGTGGTGATCAGTCGCAGGTTGGACTCGATGATATTGGGGGTCTTTTCCAACCTAATTGGTTCCATGATTCTGTGCTATGAACTGTAACAGCCATATTACAACAAGGACTATGAGGCTGACCCAAATCCCCACTGACACTGATGTAGGAGGATGTGAAGATGATCATGTAGCAACCACTTGGTAATGGAACAGAGAGCCAGTAAAGAGTGAGAAGATCCCAGACCCTAATATGGCTTTGGGTCTAGACTGTCATATGAGGGATAGGGAATCAAATTGCAAGGGTATAATTGCTCAGGAGTGTCTTTGTGCCTGGACCCTCTTTTGAGGTTGCTAGCTTGAACTGCCAGATGTCATAATTGATCTGTGCCAGTAATCCTGCCAAGTATAGATGAGAGCCTTGTGTTAAAAATTTTGTTAACAGCAAGATCCAAGGGAAACATGAAAAATCACACTGGTCAGGTTTTGTGCAAGTTCTGCTGTAGACTTTGTCGTTCCACAGTAACACTGGGGACGGTGGGCTGGAAGGCTGCTGGGAAGAAAGCAAATACAAATACCACTTCCTCTCTGCTCACCAATTCTCATCAGAGAAAGGCTCATGCTAGGAAGAAGAATCAGGTCTTTGTAGCTGCACTGTGGGACTCTCAGGAGTAGAGGAAGAACAGTGGCTCTGGCTTCAGGATCACTGGCAGGAATGCTGGGCAGCTCACAGCAAGCTGGACAGTGCAAGAAAGCCTTCTCATCCACAAAAACAAGAGCTACTTTGAATGTTGTCAGGAAGAGCATTTGCACCATTGTCCTTTATTGAAGATGGAGGGAGAAGACCCACCTTTCATTGAT